CAGCTTAAATTCCAGCTCCTCATCCTCGCAGCTTGCTGCCCCCATGGATCCGGCCTGAGCCCCCGGGTCCCGGTCTGGATGGGAGGGGTAAGCTCACGGCTGGCGTCGCTTCACCCGTGGCTCCCTCCCTCCCCTTCTCTGAGACGCCCCCTCCTCCGCCGCTGCCGCCTCCCTCCGGACGCCCCCTAGTTATTATAGAAACTTTTCCAAACTTTTTTCCCCAAAACTTCTTCAAAGCGCCCCCCCCGGCCTGTCTCTGATTGGCTGCCCAGGATGCTCCAGCCCCGCCTCCAGGGATGAGATGGGAAAACCACGCGCCCCTCGTCCTCCCCCTCCCTCTATTCTCTCTCCAGTCCCTCCCCCTCAAAAAAAAAAAAAAAAAAAAAAGAACAAAACTGAATTGGAAAACGGTTCCTCAACCGCGGTACGACCATAATGATGCCTATTGGCCCGCAGTTGTGACAATCATTTCCCACAGGGAGTACTACCTTCACCGCCCCCCAACTTAGTCTAAGTTCAGGGGCTCCGGGTCCCAGCGCCTTAAAGGGGCCACATCCTGGGCCCAGATGGTCCACGGAAGACTCTTAAGTTCTGAAGGAGCTCTGCAGCCAGCAACTAGTTAGAAAGGACTGTCTCTCCTCCCCTTTCCTCAAGCCTGAGGCCGAGCGGGTTCTGGGGTGCAGAGTGCCTCCAGGCTACTCTGAAGAGGGAAAGGCCATTCCTTTAAAGTCCCTCGCCTGAGGCCTCCCTGCCTGGGCCTTCTGAAAGCCTTTGCCCTGCCAAGTCTGCCCCTCCACCCGCTGTTTCGTGCGTTCCCCCTGAAGGTGAAGAATATTTAGCTGTTCTGGGGAACTGTAGTAGGTCCACAGCCCCTAATGGGCAATGATCCAGGCCGGGCTTTACCGCTGCCCTTGTCCCAGCCACCCAGAGGGGATATTAATTAGCCTCCACGGGAGCCGACTCCCTCCTCCCTCGAACTGTAGTCTGGACTGAGTCTTTGACCCTATGGCATCCCGCTCCGGCTCTCCTGAAAATCCTGGCCAGGTTTACTAAAAGTCTGGAGCCCATTGACCTGGAGGGCCCCAGGGTGGGACACCTGTCACCTGGGCAGGAGGAGGAAGAAAGACTCGAACTGGAGTTTCTAGGAAGGGCAGGCATGGAGAGGCCCTGTTGTATTAGGGAGTTAGTTCGAGATTTGCGATTCGGACGGGGGACGGAGTGGGATGTTACCATTCCCCCCCAAGAAGATCGTACACTTTAAACCTCTCAACAGGCCGCTGTGTTCTTTAATCTAAATCCTTCCGGCTCAGGGCCGTGCCTCCGGCGGGGCCCCAGCCCTGCACCTAAAGGGTTAAGCGATGGCCCTCGGGTCAGACGTTTACAAACACTCAGGAGCCGGGCGGGGACCGCGCCCGTTACTCTAATGAGAAACAGGCTCAGCCGGGCAGGGGAAGAGGGGAGGGCTGGCCCGGGGGGCCGGAGCTCCGCAATTGCGGAGGCGGATCGCCTCCCTTCCCTCCCGTCCTCCCTCTGGCCCGCCCTGGGGACCCCCCAGCCCCCAGGGACCCCAGTGACGTGCGGAGCTGCCCCTGCTCCGAGCCCAGGGCTGCGACGCTGTAGGGGCGGGGAGAAGAGGCCCGGCCCGCGGGGAGAGAAGAATGTTCCGAGGCCGAGCGGGGAGGTGGCCTGGTTCGATTTTTCCCCCCTTTGGTTGGTCTCCTCAGGTTACATTTTCCTTCCAGCTTCATCTCGGAAATAAAGGAAGGAGAGACACATGGGGAGGGAAAGCGAGGAACACCCTGAGACCCGTGACCAACCTTGGGGCAGAGGGAGGTGGGAAGCGGAGGCGAGAAGGGCAGGGTAGAGACCCCCACCCAGATCCAGACCCAGGCCTGGCTGCTCCCCACGTCTCCCCCGCGCGCCCCTCCGCAGAACAAGCAGACACGCACATTCTTTTCAAATGTCATATTTCCTTTGATCCTGGGCAGCGTTTCTCCATGTGTCTGGCTCAGCTCCTGCCCAGCCAGCCGCCTCCTTCTCTCACCCCCTTTGTATATTTTCCTGGAGAACCTCCCCCTCCTCCTAGCATCTGGAAGGCCCTGAGGGCTGGCGTCCGCGCACATTCCCCCCGCGACTCTGGCCTCGCCTCCCAGTGACTCAATTTCCCCTCTGCGGGTGTTGGGGGAGGGTGAGAAGCAAAGGGGAGAGTTGTGGAGCGCAAATGTGGTACAAAAGAGCCTGAAGACTGTTCAGGTTGCCAAGCTTCACTCAGGGAAGTGTGTTGGGGGGATACTCTTGACTCTGAAAACTCTCCAGTCTGTCTGGGCTACAGCAGGGGGATGGAATTTATGACTTGTGTCCTGTCCTGCCTGGAGAAGAGCGGGTAGTTGTAGGTTTAGGATGCCCTACACTTCTGCCCCCTGGTGATCACAAAATCCCAGCCATGCTCCCTCCGGCAGTTCCAGGGTTCTCGCGGGCCTCCCGTTTGTGCTTGCTCCGCTGCCCCCTAGCGCGCACACCTGAACACAGCTCGGCTCTCTTCACCAGGTGCTTTGTGCAGCGCTTTATCTTCTGCGCTGCACTTTCACAAGCTTGATTCAAATGCCTTGGAGGTGGAGGTGGACGCTTTTTTTTTTTTTAATTACACAAGATCTATTGTCCTTGTAAATGACCTGAGACACACAAAAATATATAGTAAACCATTATATTCCACCATTTTGAATACATTTACTAACATATATGTATACACAGCTGCTCCCTTTATGCACATGAGATTATGCTACAAGCATTTTTCTTGCCTTGCTTTTTTTTCTCAGTTAACAAATGGCTTGGAGACCTTTACCTGTCAATACATGTGCATCCGAAAATGGTGATAAAAGCGCCCATCTCTTCCTATGAGATTAGAGGCAAAGCTAAGTCTGGAACCCAGACTTCCTGGGTCCTCGTCCAGCGCTAATTCCACTACACCATATTTTACATAGGAATCTGTCTTAGGCTGGGCTCCTCCAAAAAGCAGAGCCTGAGATGAGAACAGAGATGCAGGTAGTTTATTGTGGAAAGCAATCCCAAGGAACAAAAGTAGGAGATTGGGAAGAGTGAAACTGGGAAAAAGGGAAAGTCTGTCCAAGAGTGAGGTATTAAGCTAGTCGTCACTCTGAGCAACTGGACAATATCCCACTGGGGACCTTCTGTAGAACCATATACAACATGGTTCAAGAGGCGGGGGGGGGGGGGGGTGGAAATATTTATTCACTCCTTCCTACCCCCAGTGGTCAAAAGCTGCCTTTGAGTGTTAATTTCCTTACTCTTTCAGGTTTACACAGTGTCAGAAAATGGTAAGTGTCCCACAAGGCTGCAGCAAAGAAACCCCTGGGGAAAAAGGCAAAATATAGGAGCTGTAATTGAGAGCAGGTACTGTCAGATGACACCTGCAAGCAGATGGTTGCCACAGTAATAGCTGAAGTAAAAAAAAATTGTATGAAGAGTATATTAGGCAGATAAGATGTGTCCTAGACAAGATCACTCATTCATTCAAAGGAAAAATATGTATTGAGGAACCTCTCTGTTCAAAGGCAGTTCTAGGCATTAGGTACCTATATTTACAAACCAAGCCCCCAAGAATAGTCAGTTATTATCAGGCTGGGAATATATTTTGTACTTGACAGCTCTCTCTTCCTTGTCCCCATAACTGTAGAGAACTATTGGCGTTATTCATACAGTATCTATCTACCTGTCTCTCCTTCATTTCTATTCCCTTCATCGCCATACTAGATTTGGCCTTGATTTTTTCTGATTTAGACTCCGAATAACAGTACTTAATGTCAATAGCATACCTTACATACTGACAACTGAAACATATCATTTTTAAAGTCCTTCTCCTCTGTAACAAAACAAGTACTTTCAGTATTAATTATGATATGAAACATAGTAATGGCCAGAAAAGAAATGCATAAAGTAAAAATATTTTCATTGACCTCGTGTGCTCATATGTATAATCATGCCAGCAAAATATATATATATGTAATATGTGTACAAATCCTGCAGTATAAGAAAGGAAGAAAAGCAATGGATTCATAATTGTAATTATATTCATATACTTTTTATTTCAAATAGAAAGGGAAAACACATGCTTACATACTAATCTTTCGAAGGAATGAATTATAACATTACAACTTCTGTTCCAGGTCTTAATTTTTGCAAATTTGTCAGAGACTTTGTCAAAATTGATCTTCACATTTAGACAGTATACCCAGACTTGTTGATCTATCTCACTCATGGTAATGAAAGAAAACTTTGCAGTAATTTTAATTTCTTATTGATATATAATCATGTACCATAAAATTCACTCTTTTAAAATGTTTAACTCAATGGGTTTTAGTATATTCATAAAAGTATACAACCATCACTATATCTAATTTCATTTTCATCATTCCCAGAAGAAATCCCATACTATTAATAATCAATTCCCATTCTCTACATCACCCAACCCCTGGAAACCATCAATCCACTGTCTGTCTCTACAGATTTGCCTACCGTGGACATTGCAGATAAATGGAATCACACGATATGTCATCATTTGTGTCTGGCTTCCTTCACTCAACATAATGTTTTCAAGGTTCATTCATGTGGTAGTATGTATCAGTACTTTATTCTTTTATGATTAAATATCAATTTTAATTTTGAAAATTTTCTTCACAGGAAGCAACAGATATTAAACAGTTAGAAAAATCTTAAATCTAAGGATAAGATTGTCAAGATTCATTGATATGTCATCTTTTGTGTCTGGCTTCCTTCACTCAACATAATATTTTCAAGGTTCATTCATGTTGTAGTATGTATCAGTACTTCATTCTTTTATGATTAAATATCAATTTTAATTTTGAAAATTTTCTTCACAGGAAGCAACAGATATTAAACAGTTAGAAAAATCTTAAATCTAAGGATAAGATTGTCAAGATTCATAAAAATTCCATTTCATAATAAATTACAAAAATTGTAATATGTCTTTTTTTTTTTTGTAATTTAAAACAATAGAAATTTATTATCTTTCAGTTCTGTAAGTCAGAAGCCAGACATGGATCCCACTGAGCTAAAATGAAGGTGTTGGCAGTTTTGAGTTTCTCTCTGGAAGCTTTAAGAAAGAATCCATTTTCTAGCTTCTAGAGACCATCTGCATTCCTTGGCTCATGGCCCCTTCCACCATCTTCAAAGACAGCAATGGTAGAGTCTTCAAGCAGCCATCTCTCTAGTTCTCCAAAAATCGTAATATGTTTTGAAGCTAATAGTGAAAAATTTTAAACACAAATGAACACTTCAGGTTTTTACACAATGTATTATTTTCTGTTGCTGCATAGCAAATCACTCCCAAAATTTTGTGGCTTCAAACCACAATGATCATTTATTATCACTCGTGGTTTCGATGAGTAAGAAATTCAGACAGAGTGCAGTGAGGAAGGCTCCTTATCTGTTCCACAATGTCTGATGGGGATCTTGAAGGCTGGGAGCTAGAATCGTCATATGTCTACAGTTAACATTGCCTGTTGGCTGAGATGTTAACTAGAGCAACTGGCTGTACCAAACATGTTTGACTGCTCCATGTGGTTTAGGCTTTCTTACAACATGGCAAGCATTGAGAGAGAGAGAGAGAGAGAGAGAGAGCGCGCATTCCATGCAAAAGCTACACAATTTTTACAAGAAAGCCTTGAAAGTCGATGTGTGCCATTGGTCAAAGCAGTCACAAGCCCCTAGCCAGAATCAAGGGGTGAGAACATAGATAACACCTCTAGGTGGAAGAAGTATTAGTTATACTAAAAAAAGAGCACATAGAATGGGATAAACACATACATGTGTCCACATTTAGAACATTCCATGCAAAAGCTACACCATTTTTACAAGAAAGCCTTGAAAGTCGATGTGTGCCATTGGTCAAAGCAGTCACAAGCCCCTAGCCAGAATCAAGGGGTGAGAACTTAGATAACACCTCTAGGTGGAAGAAGTATTAGTTATACTAAAAGAAGAGCACATAGAATGGGATAAACACATACATGTGTCCACATTTAGAAAACACAATCTGTCACAGTCTACCTGCTGGTCACAACAACTCACATCCCTCCCACACTCATCCCCTCCCCATAATCCCCAGATCTCATCCCATCATGGCACCAAGCTCAGGTCCAATGGCCCAGATTTCATCACCTATATCCTGGACCTTAAGCCTGAGCAAATGCTGTGTAACAAATCACCTCAAAACTTTGCAGTTCCTTCAGGTGTATATTATCTGATTGGGAGAAAAGATGTAAACATGTGAAAAAGTTATATACTAATAAAAGAGTTTAACGATAACCAATAATTCTGGAGATGTAACAAAGCAATACTATCAATGGTTAGGAGCAACAGAAACTGACTCTGTATAACTTAAGCAAAAGAGAGATATATTGAAAGATGAGATCGTAGAACTAACAGAAAAGTAGAATCAGGCTTCAGGAAGAATGAAAAACAGTGGTTCTAGGAAACTAGTCATCAGGACTGTGGGCACAGTCTCTTCGTGGTGCTGGACGTTTTCAGTTCCTGCTATGTACCAAGACCTTCCTGCATCCAGGACTTTGCAGATGCTGTTCCTTCTGCCTGGATCGCTCTTTACATACAGCTTTCTTTGCCTGACTGACTTCTACTCATCTCTAGTAGTAGACTGACTTCTACTCATCTTTACATATTTTAGCTACAATCTCATTGCATTCTCATAGCACTCATAACACATATCCCAATAATACAATAACTGTGTACATACTTCTTTAATGTCTGTACACCTCACTAGAGTGTAAAATTCTCTGAGAGGACCTTGTCTTTTTTTATCTAAAAGTCTCTTACTTTTCAAATTTCATCTATTTCATAAACACATGGGGAAAGAAACAAATACCAAAATGAGAATAGGCAAAAGCTATTTATTCAGAGCTTGCTATTGCAAGGGAGTTAGCCATCATCATTTGCATTTTGGCAGAGACTCAAAGTCAGGTAAAAGAGTGGGAAAGCTTTACAGTAGAAAAAAGAGAAGGCTTCAGGTATGGTAATTGGAAGATATTGGTATGGGGAAGCTGTGAGTGGGAAACCTGGAAGCAGGGCATCCTGTAGTAAACTGGCTTCCTGGGCTGGTTACTATAGATAATGGGTTGGTTTCTTGGGCTAGCTGCTGCAAATTGTGTGTCAGAGTCTATTGTTACATATGGTCTGGCTATTGTCCATTGTCTATTCCATTTCTCACATTTATTGAACATCTATTATGTGCCATAAACCATGCTAATTTTTGGGATACAGTGATTGATAGAAGATAGTTGTTGACCAATTGAACAGTTGCTAAGAGATGATGTTTAAATAACTAGTTGTATCTCTTAGAATTAGGCTTGGCTGTGCATGACATAAAAACCTAAAATATCTGTGATTTAAGTGAAATAGAAGTCTATTTCTCTCTCATGCAAAGGCTCTGCAGGTAGGCACAGTGTCAGTGCCGAGCTGATTGAGAAGGGAAGGTTCAACGGTGAGACGCCCAGTGGGAAGAATGCACAAAAGGCTGACATGAGAATGAAAGGGAGGCACCAACTTTTTTGTGTGGAGCGCAGTTCTGTTTCTAGAAGTGCAGTTCTATTGGGGGGAGCGCAGTATTGCGCGCACTTCTCCTGCTCCCCTTTCTGTTCTCCCCTTCTGCTCTCTAGGGGACCGCATTTCTCCACACATAGCATAGTGGCATTCAGCCACACATGCGTGATACAATAAGCTGAGGTATGTTTACATATTTTAGGTAAAGGCGCCCTACTACCCTAATATAACATTCTAAATCTGGGGCCTATTCCTAGCTAAGATCCTGGATCACAGCCAGACCTTGGACCAGCTGGGCCTGGCGCCCCACACAGGCTCAAAACTATCAGGCTCCCAAGCTCTTTCTGTCTTGCTGCTCCACCATCTTTAGCATTCCACTTCATGGAAAATGTCTGCTCAAGATATAACCATCATACTCATATTTAAACCAACAAAAAATAAATAAAAGCAGAAGAATATACACCCTCTCCCTCTCTACACCACTTATATTTACTTCCAAGTGGCCAGAATTTAGTCACAAATAGCTGCAAGGGAGGCTGGGAAACATATTTATTCCAAGTGGACATATGTCTAGCTAAAACCGACAGGTTTTATTACTAAGGAAAATGGTGAGAAAGGCCACTGGGGTCAATTAGCCTTCTCTGTCAACTAGAGAAATAAAGTTTGGGGATTATCTGAAAATCTAATTACTTGTATTATCTCGTTTCTCTAATACAGAATGCTCTTGACTTACTACATAATTATTCTTACTGTGTATTAAAGGTAAAAATCAAGTTCTTTCATAATTAGGAAGAAACAGCTTTATGAAATTCATGGTTATCCTCTTTTAAGGATGCTGTCCACGATGTTGTCTACGGCAACTACTCAGAGTCCTCACTGTAACCTGGATCTCGGCAACCATACTCTTCCTAAACCATCAGATAAAGGACAAAACCACAGAGACATTTAAAATGGTGAATACTGAGTTTTTTGTGGGCTAAGCACTCACAACATACATTATAAACCATTATTGCCATTAATGTGGTCCAATCTAAATTTTTTCCTGTCTTTTTGGATAAATTTGTGATCCAATTAAATTCATGATCACATACATTCCATTTCATAATCACATAGAATTCCCTAGATTTTGCCTTAGGAAATTCCTGTGGCTCCTTCAAGGCATCATTCCTATTTACTTTGACATATTATTGCTTCTCAGCTTCAGGTTCATCCTGGTTAAAGGATGAGCGAAAGGAGGTGAGGTAGAAAGGGTAGGACACAGCAAAGCAGAGAGTCTCACTCTCCCCTCTGCAAGAAAGACACAGTGAAATGTTTCAAATGGAACGATGAGACTGGATTTTCTCAAGACTTGTAGTTCTCTTATGTCCACATTTGGATTGTCAAGATTCTGATCTTTTTCCAGATCATTATTTTTACTTTCACTGCAGAATCCTGGTAAGTCTGTAAACTTATCTGCAGTTTAACAACGGTCAAGATCAGTTTCAGCATTTAGTTTATAACCAACATCTACAGATAGAAAAATGCATGCAACTGTGCTATATTTTCTTCTGGGCTTTGAGGTGGATAGTCTGTGTTATAAGTTTGTTGTTCTTCCATCTTTAGCTATCTAATGCCATTGGAAGCAAAACTCCAACCCTAAAATTCCATATTCCTTATCACTTTTAATTTGTTCTATAGAGACTGCTACTTGGTCCCTCAGAACCTCATCTAGCTTACCTTGCTGGAATGCGGAAGGAATCTCACTTCCTTTTGCTTCATCTTTACTCTATATCCAATTTCACATGTCCCACATATTCTCTGAGGTTTTGCTGCAACAATGCCACTTATAGATTAGTGAAATGGTTTATTGAATAACCATTGAATTCACCATCAGGAAGATATTATGTTGAGGTTATACTTTGACCTAGTCACAAATAAATGGTATTGTTTGTCTAGTACCAGAATGTATGGTTCTGAGAAACGAGATGTGGTAGACAGAATACTGTCTATCACAATTATTAAGTAATTATTAAGTAAAAATACCCCAATTAGTAAGAGTCTACGAAGAACTTTCAGCAAACTTATGGTACCGAGGAAATGAAAATTGGAGTTAAAAGCCTGTCAAAAAAGAGGGCTCTAATAAATACCCCAGGATTTCAGTCAGAGCCCCTGAAGAACTAGACCCTAGGTCTACAGCTGTATCAGTCAGGGTTCAATCAGGAGACAGATATCACATAAGAATTTGAACCAAGAAAGTTTAACATAAAGAAGTATTAACTATAATAGGGTATTGAATTACTGAGAGATTAGCTAGTAAAAAAGAAAAGAGAATTCTAAAATACAGGAATAGCAGTTATAAGAAAGAGCCACTACCCCTTGGGCTGAAATGGAATATCTAAGGGGAACTCCCTCCTAGGGCTGAGATCCAGACCTAGTTTAAAAGGACCTAGCTGTGGCTCACTAGTTGGTGGAGGAGTTGCTGAGTTGCTGTAACTCAGAACTCACTGCAGAGTTGCCCAAGGAAATGCAAAGGAAAGGCATTCATGGGGAGATGCCTCATCATTTGCAATTCACTGAGAAGTCACCTAAGAATGTGACAGGCAAAGCTGTTGGCTGTTGGGCATGGTGGCGGCTGTGCACTCTAGAAGTCGTGCATGCCTCTGGAGCCTGGCCAAAGGAACATCAGAACTTGGAAGAGACCTCTTCCTC